GACCAGCTGGCTCCACCCATTCGGCAGAACCTGGGTTGGCGACAGCATAAATTTCCTAAGCACCGCCCTAAAGAAGGGGTGCAGAGGAAGACGCATACCTGCTTTGAACAGGTATTCACTCACGGCCACGCAACCGGGCCTCGGATAGCAGGCCCGCTCGTTCGGTTCGGGGACTAACATCTCTATGTTATGAGGCACACTGTACCTCTCCCTAAGCTCCCCCAACCTCTTCCCCGTCATGTTTGAGGGCACTCTAGAAGCCCCCCACTCCTGGGTATAATCCACGTCCTCCTCGGCCATGGCATACCTATCCACCTCGGAAGTCCCCCCATGACCTACCCCATGGTCTAAAGACGCTACTGTGACAAGTTCCCTACCCGAAGTGGACTCCATTGTTTGAAGACAAAGAATAACGACGGTTTTTTATGCAAACAATACCTAAAAGAGTTCAACACAAATGGAGACCGGTCGGAATCTAATCGTAGACAACCTCGACGCCGGAAAATGGGAAATTTGAGAGAATTTGAGAATGCAAAGTGTTCAAAATTTCTGGAAAGTGGGATTTTCTCGCCTTTTATAAAGGTCCAAGATGAACCCCACCCGTCAGATCAAATCTCAGTCAATCCGAGCCCTCCATTTCAGATCCGATCCGAGGCGTTGAATTCAAACAGTTTTTGAAATCCTACGCCTCCTATCTATGCGTACCTTACACGCACCTCTTCAGCGCGTCTGCTTCTAGAAACGCCAGCTGCTCTCATAATTGCATTTTTAATTCGTCGGCGCCAGCACCTTGGAAGTCGTAACGGTTCAGCTACCTTTCCTCGAAAACAAGCACAAAACATCAAATCATTGGCACAGAGACCAAAGCACAATAATTACCATTAAACACCTCGGCTTCTTCAGACGCATTCAGCATTCAAGCCACGCAGGTTCGGTTTCCCAACCACCTCGGCTTCTTCAGACGCATTCAGCACTCAAGCCACGCACAACCACCTCGGCTTCTTCAGACGCATTCAGCACTCAAGCCTCGCAGGTTCGGTTTCCCAACCACCTCGGCTTCTTCAGACGCTTTCAGCACTCAAGCCACGCAGGTTCGGTTTCCCAACCACCTCGGCTTCTTCAGATGCATTCAGCCTTCAAGTCTCGCAGGTTCGGTTTCTCAACCACCTCGACTTCCTCATATGCCATTCGGCATTCAAATCGGTTCAAAAAATTCAAAAATTCTTTCAACTTTTACTCCGTTAAAGTCCACGCATTACATTAATGATCATACTTGGACTTGGGGGACTATTGTTGCATGTTGTTACACCTGTCCTATCCACCTGGGCCAGTGGGCCACTCATCCTGACCCACGTGGCATTCCTGCCGAGGTGGCCCACATTTCCGAGGTGGGTTACATCCGAACTGCTTCTAACCGAGGCTCCGTGGCCCGAGGCTACGTGTCTTAGCGTGTTGGACATTCGCCCACGCGAGCGCGGGTGGGATCGGCATCTGTTGGCGCACTTTTTGGGGTCAACAGCAACCATGTTTTATATTCTAAGGAAATTAGGCTCCCTCCTCTAAAAATGAACAAATTAGATTAATAAACTTAAACAAATTAAAAACCTCTAATGAGCGTAATAATTATGCCTAAAATCTCCTAAAACGAGCCAATTACAAAGAGAAATCCTATCTACTGTCCGTTCTAATCCATTGGACTTTAAAACTCGAATCTAGTCTTAAATCTCTGGTTTGAGCCCATTGATGAACTGCATTTCCATAATGGCGTCGGATTTGTCTACTGACAGTGCTCATTTGCAGATATCCTCTCATTGTTCCTTTTGTCGTAAGGTTAGGTATCTCTTTTTCGAGGTCCTTCTTTACATCAATCGGAATTGGTCCACTAATTAAACCTTCAATTCCTCCCAATTATGCATCTTTTTCCAACGCAGTGCCATTGATACCAAGGCATAGGCATATTTCTGTCGTCTCTAATTGTTCTGCTTTCGTTATCTGATTCACAATGAAATATCATACCACCTTAAAAAGCCATCCCTCCGGGTTTTTTTTCCGCTTCAAACACTGGTATCTCCAACCTCTGGTACCGACATTTCGGACGCTACTGCGTTACGATCGCTTCCTATGTTTCCTTGCTCTCTTCTTCCACCCCTGGGGTTACCACAAAATTTATGCTGAATCCAGATGGGTGAGTCTCTTACAGTCCTTTTATTTTCAAATCTTTCCTGTACTTCCCAACAAGTCATGATTTATTTGAATTCTTCAATCACCGTGGTCATGTTATTCTCTATATTCTGCACACTATGAAATTATGATGTAATGGAATAGCAAGTCCGGTCTAAAATTCTTCCATACATCCTACAAGATCTTGGTGGTAGTTCTCATTTCTCCCTTCCCGTTTCCCACTCTATTTGTTAAGAGTAACCTTCCATTAATACCAATTTGATAAACTTCTATTCTAAGTTCATCTCCAACCCTGCACCAAATTTTGTACCAAACTAAAATTCATCTCCAACCATTATTTCAAAAATTACACCAATGAATAGTGTTTAATCATTTTTTTCTCTTTTTTTATTCTTTATAATTTACTATTTGAAATATTATTTATTTAATTATTTCACAAATACATAAATTACTAATAAATGATTACGTTAAATTACGGAAAAGATTAAATTCATTAATAAATATAAAAAACATAGAATAATTAATAAAAATACTACAACAACGAAAATATGAAATTATGCCATCAAAAAATGGTACAATGCATTTCGAATTTGGATAGACGATATTACGAAGTCGCTAAATTTTTGCAATTTAATTCTCAGAATTCATATGTTCATCCCACAAATGATCGATTAATGCATTTCGAAGTGCAATGTGAGTTTCTTTATCCTTAATTTGTCTATGACGAGCAAGAAATTCCTGAAAATGTCGATTTTCGTCTTCAACCAACTCAACTTCTGGACTTGACACTTCCGTCCATTCTTGAACTATGCACTTTTTTATGTATCTTTTTTTTTTAAAAATAAAATTAGATTATCGTATGTACGTCGCTATTTAATATATTTTGTATTAACTTTAATAAATAATCGTGTTTGATATATTTTAAATTATTTTCGTCTTTTAATTAATTTATTAATTATTATATCTTACGTTTAAAATTTATTTTAAATACAAATAATATTAATATTAATATTAATAAAAAAAATAATTTATTGTATTAAAAATATATAGCACAATTGACATAAATACCCTCAACAAATTTATTTGGAAAATGTTAAATAAGGACAAAATGGGCATTTTACACTTTGCACCATTTTTCACCAAAATGGTGCAAAGTTTGGTGTTGGGTTGGAGCAACTCTGCACCAAAAAATGGTGCAATGGTTGGAGACAAGAGGATTGGGATGGGAAAATCAACTGTATTTTTGTAAATTGCATTGAAAATGTTCAATGACAGATGATTTGTAAGGATTAACAAGCTTTGATGAAGAGTGGTGGTGTTTATATAATTTTTTTAAATTTGAATTTTGTGACATTTTCAATAAAAAGTGACATTGCACGTTGTGCTACTTTTTTATTAAAATGTCGCACACTATCTAAGTCTAATTGAGCAATACATCTTTGACTAAATTTTTAATTTTTTTACAAGAATTTCTTTAAAATGTTAATTTCTATCATTTTTTAGTGCAAATGTCAATTTTTTTTATTTAATAAAAGTGACATTGAGTGTTTGTCACTTTTTTTTTAAAATATTATCAATTTTTTTGAATTTGTGTCACTTTTTGAGTGTTTGTCTTCTTTTTTTTTTTGTTATTAATATGTGCAACTTTTTTTAATTTGTGTCACTTTTTCGAATTCTTCACATTTTTTTGTTTAAAATTTCTGTCACTTTTTTTTTTCACCTTAATTTCTATAACTTATTTTAGTGACAAACAACAATTTTTAATAAAACTAACATTGTGTGTCATTTTTTAATTAAAAAGTGACTTATCTATTAAAAGTGATATTGCGTCACTTTTTTTTTTTTAAAAGGTGACAGCTTTCTCTTGAGAGAGTGCGTAGAACAGCGTTACTGTGAGGCGACATATTTATAACTCACACTGATTAGGCAGTGCAGCGGCGCAAGTGCAATAGATTTTTAATATTGAAGAGGCCCTAAGACTGGCCAAACAATGTGTTTCTTGATGAAAGAACATATCCACAAATCCCAATACAGAAGACAAAAATGAAGCTGAAAAGAGGCATAGTTGTCACAGACAAATCAGCTCCCAGAGAAAAATTGAAGTTTCCATATCTGTGACTGTCTTGTTCAAGAACGGGAATAGCCTAAATACAAATCACAATCATCTACTGTCCTCTTACATTAAGAAAATAGCAACTCGTTTAAGAAAAGGAAGGCATATCAACATGACGTGGATGGATATGAGTAGGAAGTTCCACCTTGAACCTTGCAAGCCGATGGATGACGAAGCTGTAACCAATGGTACAATTTTTGGATTAGTACCTCACTAGAACTTGGAAGTAAAATATCACCGTTATATTAATTTCAGCTAACCAGCAAAAATAAAAAAAATTACTTCAAAGATCATATTTATACTTGGAAGGAAAAAAAAAAACCGCCTATGTCATGAAAAGCTCAAAGATAGTACAGATACCCACCTGGGCAAGTAGACTGCAAGTCAAGGGTTGTGAGAATGTTTTGGAGGTTGTAACCAGCATATGCACATGTCCTGCGATTACAACCTGAGAATGAGGTGTTTCCAAGATAAAAATTTTCTTGACCTTCACATTGGACAGGACGACATGATGAATTAATCAGGGATGACGATTCACATTGTAATCTGAGGAATAAGCCAAGAGACGGAAGCAAAGGAAAGGACAAAGTAAGAGAAAATCAGGTTCATGAGATAGGCAGCTGCAACAGGATTAGAAACAGAAACAGTTCTATCTCATATACACTTACATCCAATTGTTTGCAGCTTCACAATTGCACCTTACGCAATTATTGGCAGTGAAGACATATGTGCCATTGGGGACAAGTAGAGGATAGTCCTGAGAAGTATTTCTTACCTCTGACGAACAAGCTGTTGGAAAGACAGAAATCAATATAGTCAGCCATTGGAAAATGTAACTTGATGTCATCAAAATGGAAGTGTAAAAGCAAAAACAAAGAAGACAAGTGCCTTTGAGACATCAATGGTATGGATGTTTTCCAGGATTCAAAATGAAACGTGTAAAATTAAAGAGACAAATTGAGACATCTATGAGATGGATGTTTTCAGGATTCAAAAGCATGAATTACCATGTAGCCTTACATGACAAGGGTCTTGTGATGATCACTTACATTGAAGCAGCAGATGAAGCTTTTTACACTATTTAACTGGTGTGTTACCATCCAGTGTCGAACATTGTTGTAGCCTCTTTAATATTGAAAAGTGTATTTATATTTAGTTGGTTCAGTACAAAATATCTTATGAAAACAGAAAATATTCCAAACCTAATTAGTTTCATATACCTAAATAAGCATTTTCCTGACAAAAATAACTGTATCGATGTACTCTTTCTGGTGAAATAGAAGCTTCTGATTCATCATCAAAAGCTTAGAGGGTGTTTGACACCCAATTTGATGGAAAAATGAATTTTAGAATAGTAGATTAATGGAAAATGTGTAGGTGAAAAATAAGGAATTTTTTTTTGATTTGCGTGTAATATTATTATAATGAAGAATGTGTGGTTGAAAAGAAGAGAGAGAAAAATGTATTTTGAGAAATATGGAAATCAAACGGCACATTAATTTTGAATTCCAATACAAGATAATCAGTAGAAGAATCATTATACTAGACTCTAAAGTCCAGAGTTGTATGATCACCAAGGATTAAAAGACAAACAGTGTGGCTACCACCAATAAGGCAGAATTATTTCTAAGTCAACTGAATGATACCACATAATTTACTAGCTAATTCTTGTTGCATATTTGTATATATTTTTCAAGGTACCCAATTAATGGCCATTTGCATTGTCTCTGTATATCTGTAAACCCCAGAATGAATGAAAGACAACCCCCTTTCCGAGTTCTCCTATAATTAGCACTTCGCAGCCACCAACTTATAGTCAATTGGAAAGCCAGCTACCTTCACAGTTTTCCTTTTCTACATACACTATGATCCCATTTTTATTATAAGTTGTATCATTAAAAGTTGCAACTTCCAAAAGTTAGCAGCACTTCAATATATATTTTTTTCCTTTTTCCTTTTCCATTCTATTTAAACCAAGGTCCTAGAAAAGTAAAAGGGCAACCCATTTGCACAAGTTTTATAGGTAAGGTCCTTCTCTGCGACTTTTCATTAATTATATTGTGGTAGATCCCCGATACGATTCACTTACGCAAGAAGAGGAAAGAATAAAGTGGGGGCAGCACATTAGCGTGTATTATTAGATGACTATTATTTACTTATAGCAAATTAGCTAGTTTCCTTGTACATTTAGCTAGTTTCCTTGTATATTTTGTATCCAAAAATAACTTGTAATATTCTATAAAAGCAAAGGAATATAGACGAGAAAGTCATTCCGCAAAATATTGTCATGGCATCAGAGCCCTAACCTTTGCTCAAAGCATGTGCTTGTGGTGGGTATTACGATTTTCCTCGAGGCGCTCAGTTCTTGACGTCAATGTTGGGTTTTGATACCCAATAACTCCCCAGGCTATGATGTAAAACCGATTTTAATTATCAGTCGGCTTGGATCAAATGGCTGAACGAAATGTCAACGCCACTATTAGAACGGCCCAACCCCAAATTGTATGGACCACTAGAAGTGACCTAATTTAATAGTGTCACTCGTGGCCCGTTTCACCTTTACTGAGAGGGCTTTATGTTGTTACCCATTTTGGAACCCATTGGCTTGAGTGTTGGGCCTTTGGACCGTGACTTTAACCTATACCTAACTTACCATATTTGGACTCCTTACTTAGGCTATATGCATGCTTTTTCTCACTGCCTCCATACAACCCATAAGAAAAAAAGAGAACCGCAGCCTCTGCTCTTTCTTCCCGTTTTCTCTGTGATTCTATTCGGTTGCTTTTCACCTGTGATACCTTGTGGTCATTTTCTGTGTGGAATAGTACATCTTGGTGAGCTCTTTGTGGGCAAGTAAAGCAACCGTGAAAAGAAGAAACCGTTTGGGTCGATTGGGTTTGAGTTCGATTGTGGTGTTGACATTGGTGGTTACACTGAGCCCGGAAACATCTTGGAATTGCTGGGATTTCACTCCTGCAACTCGTATCAGAGCATTGTGGTGAAAATTCGGCCAAAAACCGACTAGAAAATCGACAAAAAAAGAAAAATCAGACTGCCCAGTTTCTTGCACAAAAATCGAACTTGAAAACGTGATTTCCCGTCAATCTAGAAGTCTATTGGTGAAACGGAGACTAGGGTTGAGATGTGCAGGTCGAGGCGGTGTTGGGTGTGCGGCGCATGATCCCCGTGGCGGCGCGACGGTGGCGCGTGAGGGTGTGTGGCGGCGATTCTGGAGAAGTTGTCTTCAGGCAGTTTGTTCCGCTCATTATTTCTAACATTTTTCGTATTGAAAGTTTTCTATTTTAGGCTACGTAGAAAAAGTTGGATGATTTTGCCCTTGGTGGATCAACAGTCGAAATTGCCACATATTTACTGAATTACTTTAGGCCAAAATTGTGGCCCTAAAGCAGTAAATTCGCATCTCTCGTAATTTACAGACTTAGACAAGTCCGCTTGGTAAATTGGCTGAAACTTTACATTATCGCACTGGCAGATCATCGTGTGGGGTGATCAACAGGATTGGGGGTTGTCATTGCTTGTGCTAGAAATTAGGATTGCTTGCTCTTAATTTTTTGTGTTTGAGTAATTATTTTTGGATAAATTAGCGTATTGTGCTTTGTGTTAAAATTGCCATGAAATTTCGTTTGGTTGGATATATTTCTATTTTGTTGCATCGTAAATTCCGTTGTGTTGTTACTTTCGTTAGAATACCCTTACCCGTTCGAACATTCCCTTTATCTAAGACCGCGAGTCTTGCGAAACACTGGGAATCTAAACGGTGTATATTGCGGCCGTAGGATTACTTTGTGTGATCTATTTGCCCATTTGATTGCTTCGTTTTTCCCAAAATGTCTTCGCATTTTGAAGTTAGTATTTTCAATGGAAAAGGTGATTTTTCAATCTGGCAACAAAAAATGAAGGTATTTTGGTCCAACAAAAGGTTTCAAAAGTTGTTGAAGGCAATTTTCTAGCTAATTTTTCAAAAGAACTAAAAGAAAAAGCTGATGAGCTTGCTTATATCTCAATCATTTTATACCTATCTGACGCTATTTTGAGAAAAGTAGGAAAATTGAAAACCACAAAATATCTTTGGAAAAAGTTGGAAGATATATATTTGCTTAAATCCACTCCCAATAAACTTTATTTTCTTGAGCGTTTCTTCAGTTTTAAAATGGATCCTTCAAAAGATCTTGATGACAATTTGGACGTTTTCAATAAACTTGTCCAAGATATTGTTAACTGTGAAGAAACTGTGTCTGAAACCTACAAGGCTATAATCTTGCTTAATTCTATGCTTGACACCTATAAGGAAGTTAAGAACACAATTAAGTACGGTAGGGACACTTTAATGCCTGAAATTGTCATAGATTCACTTAGGAGTAAGGAGATGGAAATTAAGGCTGAAAATGAAGATAAGAGAAGTGGTGAGTTACACATGATAAGGAGTAGAATGAAATTTAAGCAAATAAATTTGGGTAGAGCTCAAAATAGTGGTGATTCGAGTAGTGACTCGAGTGATGAAGGTAGTAAAAAGAAGAGCATGAAATGGGACAAGTCTAGTGGTAAACAGTGTCACAGTTGTGGTAAGTCTGGACACTTTATTAAGGATTGTCCCAAGAAGAATGATAAACAGAAGGGTTATGCGAGAGGTGAAACGAATGTATTTGAGGGGTCGAGTTATGACCCCAGTGAGATTTATTAAATGTAAATCTAGTCACTGCATATGCATCTGTGTGTGATCCTTTTTTTGTATGTGTGTGATTGTTTAAATTTTGTTGCATGATTATCTGCTACATCTCAATGTGTTTGATATGTGCATTTATATGAATTTGAGACATTAGGATTACTGGTGTGATTGCTTGCATGCATAGTGGGCCAGGATGCATTAGTTGTGTGTTGTGTGTCTTTTGGTAAGGTGGAGTATAGATGCCTAGGGATACTTGGTGGTTTGTACCGGGGATGTGAAGTGTGACATTTGGATCACGAGTGAAGATCTGATCAAGTGTCTAGAATCCTTTATCTAAAAAGAGACCCTGATCAGGTGGAGTATGAGAGAGACACTTCTATCACTTCTGTTAGGTGGAGACCCATTATCTACATAGGCTGGGAGAAGTGATGTGGAGATAGAGGATTATCCCGTGGACTTAGGATCTATTGTGACTTGCCAATTAGATATGAGTTGAGTAATCTATTTAGTGAGCATGGTGGGCGATGAGAGGAAATATGTGTTCTCGAGGTGAGAGTAATAGGAATGGGATAGGATAAGTGTAGTGAGATCTTTCATGGGGTCATTTATGTATGTGTTTCATACATGTTTGACTGTGTGCTGATTAACTTAGTGTTAATCGGTGGTTTTGTGTGAACGTGAATTTGAAAAGATCTGTGTGAAGTATCTTATATAATATCTTTATCGCATGATTAGTTGTTCACTGTAAGAACTTGTTTCTACTTGGGTGTTCTTAACCTTATCCCTGGTGAGTATATGGAGTAGGTATGATATGTGTTTTAAGTTGAAAACACGAGGCAAGGTCTGTGAGCCCAATTTTATTGGATTACCTTAATTTTGTAAGTATAAACTGTGTGTTTTGATTGCTTGCAAGTTATTAAGCATTAAGCTGGAAATTGTTGGATTTTAATACACAATAACTCCCCGGGCTATGATGTAAAATCAGTTTTAATTATTAGTCGGCTTGGACTAAATGACTGAACGAAATGTCAACGCCACTATTAGAACGACCCAACCCCAAATTGTATGGACCACTAGAAGTGACCTAATTTAATAATGTTGC